TCCGAATTATATATGGAAAATAAAACATGGGAAGACTAAATGGAAAGAGTTCCGTTGATGAGGGAGAGATCACTGATCTAGAAATGCAATTATATGTTTTGTTGTGGCAGAGACGAAATAAAAACCAACATTGGGAACTAGAAAAATAGCTCAAATATGAGTGCAAAATTACAGCACGGCATTCTCGCGGAAGTTTTGGCAAAATTTGATATCAAACACATTGAGCAAAGTGAAGAAATTCACAGTATATTACGAGATCGAGGCACCGCAAACACGCCATTAGGTGTTTTCATAAAGCGCCAATGCGCGCCGACTGGCTCTGAGGTATACCGTTACATCGCGGGGTAAAACATTGATGAATGCGAATTTCACGGGTTGCGAACACCTCAGGTAGGTTTACCTCAAGGGCAAACGATACTTCATTTTCAATGATGAATCCGGGCTCAGGTCTTCAAACTCAAAAGCGAGAAGCCGCGGAGGGAAAAAGAAATCGCAATGATCAAAGATGTTAATCTGTATTGAAAATATAGGCTGGAAAGTTCTCACTGATTCCAATATTAGCATAGGATAATGGAGAGAGTAGTGCAGAACACAGCCGCAAGAATCTAGCATTCAAATTAACTGGGTAACGTTGGAGTTGTGAATTCAGTGTCCTCATATCCTTTGTGGGTTTGTATTGGTGTCTGCACCGTTAACATAAGATCTTATCTCTTTCAAACTCCTTATTTATGCGCGTGTATTATGGAAATTCTAAAGCATACCACTGATAAGAGAAAATTCTTCTGTGGAAATTTAATTCTACCTATTTCTCTTTGCAATATTTGAAGGGAAGGCAAGATATGAGTTTTTATGTGAATTAATCAATTTGTCATATCAAAAAAAGCGAGACCTCTTTGATACAGATTGACTATTTTAGTTGTGGGTAACTCACCTCCATCCGGACGACACCGAATCTGCCATACGCGAATCTCTGAAGAAGCTCAGACTCGACTATGTTGATCTTTACATATTCCACATGCCTACCTGCTTCAATGTGAGTTCAACGTTCCAAGTAATGGAAGCAAATCTTTATTTTGAGTGCCGCACCTAAAACTTTCAATAAATCTGACCATAAATGA